CTCTTCATATAGCCGTATATATGGCTATTACACGATCATAATACACTGTGATATAGCCTGGGTGGTTAGTTCGTTGCATTGTTTTGTTTTCTCACTACAATCGATCCGCTCAGTAGGGCAGAGACCGCGTCTCATTCAGGCGATCTCGGACTGATTGATTTGGCGCGGATGCGAGCGCAACTGCTGGATTTATGCCAAACAAACCGCGCTAACGGGGGAAACGAGACATATTCCGAAACAAACGTCTATGTGTGATAGCACAGTAAGATTGTATTTGCACACAATTGACAGACAGTCGCAGCACGCAGCTCTGGCTCGATCTGTCAGGCAACAAGGCAGCACTACACTGACCCGAGCGTCTCGCACGCTGGCTCCGGGCTATCGGGCAGTCCTTATTGTCGAGCCCTGAAGGTTTAAGCTCTGTCGATGGGTCTCCTGCGTCTGCACAGTTCAACAAGCACTTCAACAAGCGTGTTTTTTCCCGCTTGGCAAGCCAAGCTGACGTGACATGGGGGCATGGCAGCATCGACGTTTCTATTTTTTGATTCTATAATCGAAATCGAGCCTACATTTTGATCGATTTCGATTTAAAATCGAAATCGTGACACCCTTACTAGTTACCCTTAATTTGACATGATTTAACAGGATTTTCTAGTCAATTAACACGACTAGTTATCTTTCATTTTAAATGCTTACATATTTGTTTTTAATAAGACTGAAAGTGTAGCCTTTTCATAAAGTAGAGCCCAATTTTGGAAAATAATCTTTGACTGTGGTTATAAATAGTCACCCTATCTCAATAACAATGGTCAAAGGAGGTGATTCACTGCTGTAAAATGCTTAACCAAAAGTCCATAATGTTTGTGTTTAATTCTGTGGTCAGAATTTCTTCTGTGAAGAAAACAACACATCACTTTGCTTAAGACTTAGTGATTTGTTGTGCCAGTTGTTCTTTACTTTATGCTGTAATTCATAGCTGCTGCTGCTGGAGATCTGTCTTCACCCCTTGCTTTGTTTCTGTGATAAACATGGTTTTTCATAGATAAGCTGATCTCTTGAGTGACGTGCAGTACTGCTCTCTACTGTGCAGTAACATTTTGATCTTGGCTGTCCTCCACTCCCAGACAAATGAGTATATTTTGCTTCAATCCGTTGGGATTATGGCCTGTGCTGGAGAAGGAGGGGTGGGAAACGGGGGGAAAGGGAAAGAGGATGAATCAAGAGCAGGTGGTTGTGCCAGTGTCACATGGGCAGTCTGTTGGCACATGTGGATTTTACTGACAGACTGTGAAGTTAAGATGTCAAATGTCAGCCATTTTTAATCATTGCCAATGTCTTGTCAGTTTATAATCTTGCAAACTTCAATGATTTATGAATTCAACTCAGTTATTCCTTTAAAGCTCACAAGCTCTTGTCTTTTTGCTATGGAAGAAGTGCTTAATAAAGGATTTTACTTGAAGATCACAAAAATGTTGTTTAATTTTCAAATAATTTATATTAAAACTGATTTAAATATATAACCAACAAAATGGTTAAAGGTTCATGTTTGGAATTAAATTTTATTTTTAATAATTTATTTGAGTACTTTTGATGTGGTTTGCTTAAGACATGACAGTCTATTATAAATTATTACAGTTATAGTCCTTGATTTTGATTGGTAGAGCCACTTCCAAAGATTTTGTAAATTATTCTTCAAACTCATTCGTTCATTCATTCATTTATTCATTCATTTTCTTGTCGGCTTAGTCCCTTTATTAATCCGGGGTCGCCACAGCGGAATGAACCGGCAACTTATCCAGCAAGCTTTTACGCAGCGGATGCCCATCTCTGGGAAACATCCACACACACACTCATACACTACGGACAATTTAGCCTAACCAGTTCACCTGTACCGCGTGTCTTTGGACTGTGGGGAAAACCGGAGCACCCGGAGGAAACCCACGCAAAGGCAGGGAGAACATGCAAACTCCATACAGAAACGCCAACTGAGCCGAGCGACCCAGCGACCTTCTTGCTGTGAGCACTACCTACTGCGCCACTGCCTCGGCCCTATTCTTCAAACTCTTCTCTTCAAAATATTAATTTAACAAATTACTGACAAATTGATCAGTTCCATTTCACAGACACACTTCTCATGCAGGAAATGTGTTGATATGCATGTGTGAGTGTGTCCATGTGTGAAATGTTTCTGAAATGCAGAAGGTATTATTTAAATTATTGGTTGTGGGGTGATGATCTGAATTAGGGCTGCACAATATTGGAAAAATCTTAACATTGTGATTTTTTTATTTTATTTTGCTATATATATTGTGATAGGAATACAATTTCACTACATTTGTTGAATAACTATTTGGAAAGAATTTATCACTCTAGATTGATTGGAATGATTTTGTTAGGGAGTGCATATGAATAAAAGATAAGAAACAATCTATAATCGGATACATTCAATAAAGAAAAAGATACAAATTAAATAAACCACATTTTATTAGTTTCAGAAAAGTCGAACTGTATTCTGGTATACAGTGATTGAAAAATCAAATAATTACTGTGTAGAATTGTTTTATAAACAATTCAATAGAATTAATTGTTATTTATTTGTCTAAGTTACAGTTGGAACAATTTCTTATGCCTAAAGACTTTTAAAACCCCAACACAGTCACAGGCCTCAAAAAAACATATGCAAAATGCAAAATTATAACTCAGACTTAACATTGTCATGATGTGACTATTGCGAATAATCACATTGCAATATCGATGCTAAAATTATATATTGTGCAGTCATAATCTGAATTAGGAGTATGTTTAAAATAAGTGAAATGAAGTTAGGAAGCACTGATTAAATAGATAAATAAATAAATATATATATATATATATATATATATATATATATATATATATATATATATATATATATATATATATATATATATATATATATATATATATATATATATATATATATATATATATATATATATATATATATATATATATATATATATATATATATATATATATATATATATATATATATATATATATATATATATATATATATATATATATATATATATATATATATATATATATATATATATATATATATATATATATATATATATATATATATATATATATATATATATATATATATATATATATATATATATATATATATATATATATATATATATATATATATATATATATATATATATATATATATATATATATATATATATATATATATATATATATATATATATATATATATATATATATATATATATATATATATATATATATATATATATAT